GGATACATCAGTCTAGGTTGGAGGTTCTTTTCTTTTAGGACTTGGAATACCTCACTCCAGGCTCTCCTTGACCTAAGGGTTTGTGTTGAAAAGTCTGCTGTGATTCTAATGGGCTTTCCTTTGCATGTGATTTGTTTCTTTTCTCTTACTGCTTGTAGTATTTTGTTTTTCTGTTGGATTTCTGGGATCTTGATTATTATATGTCTAGATGTAGATTTTTTTTTTATCGTGGCTAGTTGGGGTTCTATATGCCTCACTTATCTGTATGTCTCATTCTTCCCTTCTGTTTGGGAAGTTTTCTGTCATTAATTCTGTGAATAGCTTTTTTAGGTCCATTTGCATTTTCTCCTGTTTTTTCATGAATTCCTATCAGTCTTATGTTATTTTTCTTTGCCTCGTCTAGAAGTTGTTGGATTGATATCTCATGATCCCTTACTGTTTTTGAGAGACCTCTTTTTTCACGGTCACTGACTGCGATCCGATCTTCTATATCTGAAATTCTATCTTCGCAATCTTTTATTCTGTTGCATACACTTTCAATAGAGTTTTTAATCTCCTGGATATCTGTTTGAATCTGTTTTATGGATTCCATTTCTTTCCTCTGTTGGGCATTCATTGTTTCCATTTCTTTCTTATGCTGAGTCTTCATGGCTTCTATCATGGTCTTGAGCTCATCTATTTTTTTGTAGTTTTTGTTCTAGAGTCTTGAATCATGACTTTCATTTTGCTCATCATCTCTATGGTTAACTGGGAAATTATTTCTGATTTGAATTTTTCTACAGCCTGATTGATCAGTTTTGTTGCCTCCTGTGCTATGGGTCCAGGGAGTCCTGTTGGTTCACTATCAGACTTTTCATCCTCATTTGTCCTACTATTTGTTATTGGTGAACTGGAAATCTGTTTTTGTGTCTTGCTTAAGTGTTTTCTCATTTGTATTTTTATTGTTGGGTTGTCCTTCTTTAATTTCTGGGTATTACTTAAATCTTCCTAATATAGTTGTGTTTTAGCTTTTGAGTTTCTAATGACTCATAGACATCCTCATTTTCATAATATCAGAGAAAACAACTCTTTAAATCAATCACAGCCCTTTATCCCAATTGATACATTCAGCAGCCCAATAGGATCAGGCACAGCTTGCAAACTGACCACTTGTGGTAGTCATTAATGTATCACCTTTAACCCATGTGAATTAAATTAATATCAAGAAGCAGCCCAAAATATGTTTGCAGTGAATATGCTTTTCAATATAGCTTCTTGACCATTTAGGATGGGGGTTAGACTGAGTTAGGACGAGAGGAGTAGATAAGTGAAAGAACTGGAGCAGGTTTGAAGTGAATGCAGAGGATGTAGAATTACCTTACTAGCGTTACAAATAAATAAGTCACACATGTGTAAATACTGAGTAGTTTCCCTGGTGTGAATAATCTGCAATAATACATAAGATCCTAATAAGATTACTGACATTTAAAAATGGGAAGAAAGGAGCTAAAGGTGCAGGGCAGGTGGGATGAGTAGGGGAAGGGTAATAAGGGAAAAGAAAAAAATGTGAGATAATGAAAAGATGAAAATAAAGTGTTTGTAGGTGGGGAGGGGAGGAGGTGGTGAAGGGAGGGCAGGAACAAGGGGAAAAAATGAGAACCAAGACTTGTCATGTAGAGGTACAAGATCCCAACAATGAATGTAACTGTACTGTATCCCTAAAATGTACCAATAAACTCAGTTAAAGCTGAAGAAAAAAGAATGACATACACACACAAAAAAAGAAAACTATATAAAAGAATAATTTTTCTTTGCTTAGGGAAAAATTTATTGATTTATGTTTTATATGTTATTCAGAATGCCAAGTAGTCCATTAGAATTTAATACAATCTGTCATGGTCATATTATTTCTAAAATATGTTAAATTTACATTTCAGAAAGTGTTTATTCATGTTTCATCTTGCTCAGTAAAACTAATAGCTTTAACATGAGTACTAAGTGGTTGCTTATATCTTTATATTAACAAAATTATTTTTAAAAATAATTGTGTTTGGGTATATATTCTGTTATGGTGGCTGAATTAGTGCCTTCTGGGTCCAGAAAGTTTTATGAAATTAAGCAAAACATACATGCAACAGATCACACACACTAGCAGAAAAGCAAAAGATTATTAAATTTTATAAAATCATAGTTATCAAAGACTTTAAAGAGATGAAAGGACAGAACCTAGACTGTGACTAGAGATGCTGTGTGAGAAGTAGAGAAATGTGTGGGAGGGTAGAAAATTAAGCAGAAGCCACAACTAAGCTCTTGAGTGGCCTTTTCCTTTCATCTTTTAGGTATCAGCTGTTGTCCCTCACCATACTCTCTGTGTTACTGCAGTAACACAACCTCAGTGGTATTATTTTTTATTTACTGTCTGTTTCCTCATGAGAATATCTGCACTCCATGAGGGCACATACTTCTCTGTTCACTGTTTTATCTCAAACACAGTCTCTGCACATACCAGGTCCCCAGGAAAGATTCATTAAACTAACAATTAGACTAATTGAAGTGAAAACAAGGGCTAAAATATTGATTACATAATCTTTATTTTAATGTGCTTTTCAGCTGTGAGGAATGTTGCAGGTCCATTAAAGGTGACAAAACCTCTCCAATGGGACCTGCAGAATCTTTTGGTGGAGCCGTGTGCATTGGATTAGATGGTACAAGTACTAGAGATGAAAACAGTGCTGAGAATGTTATAAATTAGATAGGTTATAAATTAGATATTCATATGCACTTACAGGAACTTCTCTGGGATGAAGCAGTAATCTGTTTTTTTCCAAACAGAACTACATTTCATTAATTTGAATAATTCAGTGTAGGTTGCTTGTGTTTATGTAGTATTCAACTGTCTATTTGACTGATGGGAAAATACTGAGGAGAGAAACATTGCAAGAGTCCTATTGTATTTAGCATGTAATTTTCTTTCTGAAAGCAGATTTTTTTTTCTCTTTGAGTTTATTGGTACATTTTAGGTATACAGTACAGTTACATTCATCATTGGGATCTTGTACCTTTACATGACAGGTGTTGGTTCTCATTTTTTCCCTACTCCTGCCCTCCCTTCACCCCCTCCTCCTTCCCTACTTACAAACACTTTATTTCCATTTTTTCATTTTCTCATGTTTTTTTTCCTTCTCCCTTATTTCCTTTCCCCTACCCTTCCCACTTCCCCTACAGCCTTTAGCCCCTTTCTTCCTATTTCACATTGTCAACTATACCATTAATATCTTATGTACAGTTATAGTTTTTCACACCAGAGAAACTATTCGGTATTTACACAGGTGTGACTTATTTATTTCACTTAAGAGTATATCCTCAATATGCATCTATTTTCCTATGAATGCCTCTAATTTCTCATTCTTTATGACTGAGTAGTATTCCATTTTATAGAAAAACTACATCTTCTTTATCCAGTCTCCAACTGATGGGCAGATGGGCTGTTTCCAAGTTCTCACAAGTTTCTTTGAAGGGTGATATTTCGGTTTGGTTTAGAATTTAGATAAAATACACATCTAACTGGTGAAAGTGAAAAGGAAACTGTTTCAGGCTGAGGGAGGATTGAACAACAATAAGGACCAGTGTCAAGAGGTATAGGATAGATGCCAGGGAACTGGAGAAGATCAGCAGCAGCCAGAAATATAGTACGGGCTGGAGTGTGAGGGAACTCGTAAATGAAATCCAGTGTGCATTTTATTCAATTTATTAACATGGAAATGAAGCACAGGTAGGGTGTTTTATTCATCTATCTGTATTTCTAGTAGTTTCCTGGTAGCAGAGAGGATAGATTGGAGTGGCAAAAACTGAAAAGTGAAACCTAAAATGAGCCACAGAAATAACAGAGAAAGGCATTTATTTTTTCTACAGTTAAAGCATAAAGTCCATATAGGAAATTAGAGATGATGAAGTAGGCAAGGGCTAGCTTGCCAATATCCTAAGGTTCATGTCCAGCAAGGAACGAGGAACCTTGATTCACCCTGAATTTGCCTTGCAAGTCTGATTACTTCTGTGTCATAAGCAGAATTTTCCATAGACTCTGAAAGTTAGATCCAAAAGTCCCGTTATCAGGAGGCTTCTGCTTAAGTGAGATTGCAAATGAAAGTGTAAGAGCCAGGCAGATTGAAGAAGTAAATACTAAGGGTTGAGAGGCTGGGAAGGAAACAGAAAATGAGCATGGACTAATACTTGAAAAGTCTTGTTAGCAATTCTTAGCCAGACAAAGGTAGGAGTTTAGAGGTTTCTTATTTTAAAATAAGAGAGAACTGTGGGGCCTGGTGATGCACACCTATAATCCCAGCACTCAGGTGGCTGAGACAAGAGTATCACCATGAGGTCAAGGCCACCCTGAACTACATAGAAAGACTATCTCAAAAAACTGAAGGGGAAAAAAAGATAAGAGAACTGAATTTTCTATGTTATGAAAAAAACCTATATAGATAACAAGAAAAACTCAGAAGACAGAAGGCGTGGAGCTGAAAGTGTAGAAGGATAATTCTGAACAGGAAGAAAGGAGTAAGGAAGAATGTTGATGCATTTATGTTTGAAGAGTCACTTCTGTCTCGATTTTTTAGATGAGGCTAAAGCAGAGAATTAGGACTGCTGTGGGAGGTAGTGGCTGGAACCGAACAGCAGCCAAGGAGTGGTACAGGAAATTGCCTGGGACACCTGGCATTCCAAATGCTGACATTCAACACCCTGGTGGTACCAGTACTTTTCTCTCACCTCCTAAGTAAGAGAGGAGAGAAGGTGAACAGGGGATTGACCCAGGTTAACTTTTTCAAGCCAGGTAAAGTGAGAAGAGGTGGAGTTCTCATGAGACAATTGTGATTTTGGAATTATCTCAGAAGTGGCAGTGACAGTGGGAGTGGGTGGTGAGTTGAAGTGGGTGAATGTCCTTTGAATAAGAGTAGAGAGAATAACAGATTCTTTTTAGATGCATATATTATTTGAAACAATGTGTACATTTCCTTTTTTAGTGAGACTACCACTACCTCCTACAAAACAGACATATGGAGCAGCCAGAGTGAAGAGTCTGCAGGTCCATCACAGACTGACCACCCTGGGCTTCCTGGTACGGTGGCATAACTCTTTGTGTAGTGAGTTCTGGCCAGAAGGGGTGCTGTTTCAGAGATGTACACAGAGGTTTCTAATACCGTGTAGAAAAGAGCTAGGAAAAAATTTTGAAAAACTGGAAAATTGGTTTTCTAGGATTTTTCTTTTAAAAATGAAAAAATGCATTTATGTTTTTAAAGAGTCAATTCTGTTTTGCATTTTCTACTTGAGGCTACTCTCTGTCCTAACGCAGAAGGTCAGGACAAGAACTATGGGAGGGTAACAGCTTGAACTTAGCTGCAGTAGAGGCGTGGTATTCACACCCCACATTCAAAGGATGAATTTCTGCCCTTCTGGTATACTAATATACATGGCGATTAATAAATGACGCCTTTGTATTTTCTTAAACTAGGGATTATAGGCTTGAAAATATGACCTGATTCCTAATTTTCTTAATTTTAATCTGTTGCTTAGTGTATACTTTGTAAGTAAAAATAGTATCTTCTTTGCATTATAATAAAATGTTTATAGTATAGAAAAAGAAAAAATATTTATGTGCAATAAAATCATAATACTGGAGGATATTCCAGACTTTTTTGTGCATGTGTATGTATACTTGTATGTAGTCATGTATATAGATATTCCTTGGTTAATGGCTGTTCCGACAACGACCTCCTGCTAGGACTTATGACTGGTACTTAGATTTAATGATGTGGGACTGTGAGCTGCACTGCAGCCTTATTGTGGCTTCTGCAGTGTGGTGCTGTAATGTTTCCTGATTGTGCTATACTTCAAAGTATTATAGTTTTATGTGCTGTTTTATATCACAGTACTTCATGTAAGACTTACAGAAATAAAAGCAAAGTCATCAAGTTGGAGTTCCTTTTGACCATTTCTTTGTTCTGAATATTGTAATATGCACAGTGTATCCAATTCCTGTTAGCAACCAATTAATTTATTGACCTACTTTCAGTAACAGAACTTAGTCATTAAATGAGGAGTGTCTATATAGTTTAATGGTGGGGACATGTTCTGAGAAAGGCACCTTAAAGTACATCACAGACTATACTCACACAAACTGTGACAACTGTGATATCAGGACGTGGTATAATCTAATGGAACCAATTTATATATACAGTATGTCACTGACAAAAATGTTATTATGTGACACATGCCTGTACTAAAAATATAATTTTAGCTAATATATATTATTGTGTGTGTGTGTGTGTGTGTGTGTGTGTGTGTGTGTGTGTAGCTATTACAAGCAGACATACATACACATCTGTATAAAATGGTTAGGTGTAAGGTAGGCACACCATGTATACATCTCAAAAACCTTGAAATTGGAGAATGTCTTAGAGGTCACCCATGTCTACCTCCCAAGCCTGAAATTATCTTTTGTAATGCCTTTAAATTTGGAAATATCAAGTCTGCTTAAGACACTATCATGCTATATACAGTTATTAAAATGTAGATCTCATATGAAAAGTTTTTAAGAAAATACTTTTAAAATCTAAAATATAATTAATTGACTTACATTAAGTTCACCCTTGTAACATATAGCTCTATGAGTTTTGACCAGTCTCCCCCACTATCAATGTATAGTACAATTCTGTTGTGTTCTTTTGTAATTAACTCCTTACTCAAACACCAGTGCCTGATATGCAGTAACAACCAATAATCTGTTTTCATTCTCCTTGTCTTTGTCAAAGTGTCAGTATAAATGGAATCATAAGTATGTAGCCTTTTGAATCCATCTTCTTTCATTTAACATAGTGCTTCTGATAATAACCTGTGTCATTGCATTTATCAGTATTTAGTTTCTTTTTCTGTTGACTTGTATTCCATTGTATGGCTACACCAGTTTATCTGTTTACAAGTTGAAGGACATTGGCTTGTTTCCAGACTTTGGAAATTATGGGTAGAAGTACTACAGATTTCACATAGTTTTTTGTAAGCACAGTTTTCTGCTTTGTTGTCTAGCAGTGGGATTACTGGATCATAAACATGCAACTTGAAAACATATTCCAAAGAAGCTGTGTCAATAATATTGGTTTCTTTTTGGTATTTAGGCCCTACTCTTCTTTTCTTTTTGTGCTTCAGTGAAGATAGTTTCAGTCAACCAATCTTTAAGATTTTTCTTTTCTCAGCTGTGTTTTTTACTGATGAAGCCATTGAAAGTATTCCTACCCTGTCATAGAGTTTCTTATTTGCAGAATTTTAATTTGCATTATCTTACAGATTCTCTTTGTTCCAGTCCCAGGCTATTCATGCATTTTGATCACTTTTTCTACAAGTACTCAAACATATTAATCATGATTATTTAAACTTCTCTCTGTGGTAGTTGTAACAGAGGATCAACTGCTGATTTTTTCTGTTGATTTTTTTCTTTCTTTCCCTTCTCTTCCCTCCTCTCATCTCTTATATTTTGAGATAAGTCTGGCCTGGAACTCCTGTGCTAAAGCAGTCCTTCTGCCTCAGGTTCCTGAGTAGCTGAGATGACATGTGTGCATACCACAATTGGTGGTTTGTTTTTGACAGTGCTTTTTGTTGTTTCTGCTGCTTTGTGTACTTCATAATTTTTGTTGGGCTTTGGTATTGGTATAGAAAAATTGAGACCAAGCTAAACAGAGTTTAGGCTGAGAAGTAGCCTTCCCTATTCCTCTGCTGTACCATGAGTGTAGGTTATTGACGTAGTGTGTTCAGGACATGAGTTAGATTTGGGTTCACTGTTTCCATCATGACCTATTATGAAACGTTGGCCTGGTTTCACAAGTCCTCACTTGTGCTGAGGGTAGAGCTGGGTGCCTGACAGTTTTCCTAACCATCCTGTCCCTCCTCAACTTTAACCCTCCCTGTGTCCCTGTGCCTTAGAATGTCTCTGTCCTTTTCTTGCCCCTCCACTGGCCACAGACTGGGGATGCCAACCTGGAGGGGAGGCCACTTCTTCCTTGTCCTTGTCCAGGCCCTATGTTCCAGGTCTCCATGGAGGGTCTTTGTCATTGAAACAGCACTTCTCCCCAGCAGGTGTCTCAGCTAGCTCTGCTTTAAGTCTTTGGTGGGTCTGCCATTGGAGAAGAAGTTTTCCTGCTCTTCATTTATTGACAGAGTCCTGGGAGCAGGACTGCTTTTTTTGCTCATCCTCAGGGAGTGCAGGACTTTTCTTTGTGTGTTAATGTATTTCTCTGCCACAGATTTTCCCTGAAGTTTTAGACTCCTGTTCTATAGGGGAGAAGGGTCCAAGTAGGGCCTTATGCATTTCCTACAATGGGAGTAGCTTCCCTCCTCCAGGCCCAGACCTTTTGGGGAACAGTCCTTTCCTGCTCTCCATCTTTTCTCTGAGCACTGTAGGGCCTGTGCAGTGAATCTGTGATGACAATTCTGTGCTGTCAGACTGGCCGCGCTCACCTGCAGCAGCATGGGGAGCCCGAATCTTCTACTGCACAGGGCCTGGCATCTCTCTACCAGAGCTATCATCTCTGAGCCGTCCACATTCCCACCGTAGACTGTCTTGTTTTAGGGTTTAGATTGTTTGATTGTCTTCTACCCTCAGCTCTCTTATTTTAACAACATTATTTTTAGTGGATGTTTCCAGCTTGTATGTATTCTTAGGGTATGAAGGATGCTCGTTCTAGTTTTCTACATTTTTGGCAGAAGTGGAATTTTCAGTATAAATATACTTTACAAAGAACACTTTCCTATATAAGTATATCTTTTAAACAAACACATAGCCACACTGTTATTTTGAAAATTGGGATAATATTCCATTGTCTGACTGCACCATAATTTATATATTTTTTTCTCATTGAGTTTATTGGTACATTTTAGGTATACAGTATAGTTACATTCATCATTGGGATCCTGTACCTTTACATGACAGGCCTTGGTTCTCATTTTTCCCCCATAACCCTGCCCTCCCTTCACCCCTTCTACCTCCCCTATTTACAAAGACTTTGTTTCCATTTTTTTCATTTCTCATATTTTTTTTTCTTGTCCCTTATTTCCTTTCCCCTACACTTCCCACTTCCCCTAAACCTTTAACCCTTTTCTGCCTATTTCACATTATCAGTTATACAATTTTTTTGTTTGTTTTTTTGTTTTTTTGATACCAGGAATCTAACTCAGGTCCTTGCACTTATGAGGCAGGCCACCGAACCACTGAGCTAAATCCCTGGCCCCAGTTATACAATTTTGATCTTATTTACACTTTTAGTTTTTCACACCAGAGAAACTATTCAATATTTACACATGTATGTCTTATTTATTTCACTTAAAAGTATGTCCTCAATATGCATCCATTTTCCTGTGAATGACTCTAGTTTCTCATTCTTTATGGCTGAATAGTATTCCATTTTATAGGAAAACCACATCTTCTTTATCCAGTCTCCAACTGATGAGCAAATGGGCTATTTCCAAGTTTTACCTATTACAAACTGTGCCACTATAAACATAGGTGCGCATATATCACTGTGATATGATTCTTTTAATTCTTTTGGAAAGATACCTAGCAGAGGGATGGCTGGATCAAATGGAATCTCTAATCCTAGTTCTTTGAGGTATCTCCATATTGATTTTCATAGTGGTTGCACCAGTCTGCACTCCCCCCAACAATGGAGAAGGGTTCCTTTCTCCCTACAGCCCCACCATCAGCATTTGTTATTGTTTGATTTCTTGATAGCAGCCATTCTTTCTGGGGTGAAGTAGAATCTCTGTTGTTTTCATCTGCATCTCTCAAACGACCAGTGATGTGGAACATTTTTTCATATACTTACTTACTGCTTTTACTTCTTTGTCTGAGAAATGTCTGTTCATTTCAGATGCCCATTTTTGAATTGGGTCTTTATATTTGGGGGGGCTGATTTCTTTGAGTTATTTATGTATTCTAGATAATAGCCCTTTGTCTGAGCAGCAGCTGGTAAAATTTTTTTCCTACATTGTAGGTTGTCTCTTAGCTCTGTTGGTGTTTTTTTTTTTTTTTTGCAGTGCAGAAGCTTTTTAATAAGATGAGATCCCAGTTGA